AATGTTTCCTTGGGATAGGGCGGGGGTGCTGGTCAGTTCAACCTGGTGAGTGAGAGCTGGAGCCTCGACATCAGGACCAAGCCTCCACCTACGGACCAAGCCTCCACCTACGGACCATGGAACAAGTCCTTTCGCCTCTCTGAGCCTCAGTTTTTCCACCTCTAAGGTTCCTCCCAGCATAGCAGTTATGGTTGCTTGTTAGGATTTCGGGCCTTACATTAGAACAGGCTCAGAATAAAGGGCGGTTTTTAGAAAAAAACATTCCTTGGACAAGACCAGAGTCCGCAGGATCTTAGAGGGAAGGGGAACAGATTGCCCTACTTGAACGTGGAGAGAAGAACCGTGTTCGACATCACTAATCATCGGGGAAATGCAAATCAAACCCATAACGAGCTATCACCTCACAGCTGTTCGGATGCCCTTTCTGCAAAAGACAAGACATAACAGATACGGGCGAGAATGTGAAGGAAAGGGAACACTTGTGCACTGTTGGTGGGACTGTAAATCGGTGCAGACGCTGTGGAAAACAGTATGGAGGTCTCTCAAGCAACTAAGACTAGATCGAGCAATTCCCCTTCAGGGTATACAAGCAAAGGAAATGAAACCATGGTCTCAAAGAGATACCTGACTCTCGTGTTCATTGCAGCATTATTCACAACAGCCCAGATACAGAAACAATCCAAGCGCCCCACTGACGGATGAATGGATCAAGAAAATGTTACATACACAATGGTAGATTATTCGGCCATAAAAGGGAAGGAAATCCTGTCATTTGTGACAATATGGATAAATCCGGAGGGTATTATGCTAAGTGAAATGGGCCAGACAAAAATAAATGCTGCACGGTGTCACTTACATTTAGAATCGAAAACTCATAGAAACAGAGTAGAAAGGTGGTTGCCAGGGCTGGGAGAGAAGGACAGAGAGACTGGCAAAAGGCTATTAACTTTCAGTTATAAGGTGAACAAGGGGAGAGGGTCTCATGTAAAACATGATGACTATAATTGATAAAACTGCATTGTATAATTGAAATTTGCTGAGAGTAGAACTTAAATGCTCACACACACACACACACACACACACACACACACACACAGTAAAATGTGGGATGAAAAAAGACACGAGAGGTCGTGCTCACGCCCAGTGAATACATTGTCCCCAAAATGCCGTGGGCAGGAGGACTCTGCTCCCTGTCTCCCCTGCAAGACCTGCATTTCCTAGTTGATACCACACACAAGCGGGGCAGTCTGAGTCGCTACAATGCCTCCCCCAGCTAACTGGGTACCCCTGGAGAACGAGACCACGTCTCCCTCCCCCCTATCCCATAGCTGAGTTCTGGACTGGTATACAATCAGTGCTCAGTAAGGAGAATTGCACAATGGTGTGTGGTGGCACCATTTACAAAACAGCCACATGTGTTATGACCTCTCAATTCTATAAGACTGGCTTTACTACCTCCATTTTACCAGCTTGGATGGACCGGAAGACCGGCCTAAGGTCACACAGCTGCTAGAGATCTACTTATGCTCCCATCACCCTTGGATAGTCTCTAAAATGGCAGCTGAAGTGTTTTATTTTGCTTTTAACCTTTATTGTGTCTCACAGTCATTGGAACACAGTCATTGGAACAGAACCGTGGCTTGGAACCAGAGCTATTCTTCAGAGCCCATTCTCTCAACCACTACCCTCCACTGACCAGCACTTTCTTTCCAACTCCAAGCCATGTTTGCCAACTCCACAACACCCATTCATACAAGATGTCCATATTGCTTGTCTCTCACCTCACCCCCATACCCAGGACAGGGCAAAGCAGAAGGAATAGGCAGGGGTGGACACAGAGAGAGGAAATTACATGATAGGGGTCAACATAACAGTTAAGCAGCAAATCCAGGATTAGAATGAGGTTTGTCAGATTCCAGAGCCTGCATTCTTAAATAGTATATAATATTGCCTCCAATCATATTTCATTAATTTAGTAGTCTTTATATTTATACCATATAGTGGAATACTTATAGTTTATTAATCTCCCATTTATGGTTCTTACACATCCAATATAATAAAAGGCTAATATGCAAATTGACCTAACAGCAGAATGACTGATTGCTATGACACTCACTGACCACCAGCGGGCGGACGCTCAATGGAGGAACTACCCCCTGGTGGTCAGTGCGCTGCTCAGCCAGAAGCTGGGCTCATGGCTGGCAAGTGCAGTGTCAGTGGCAGGAGCGGGCCTAAGCCATCAGTTGGACATCCCCCGAGGGCTCTCCGACTGTGAGATGGCACAGGCACTCCCCCCTGCAGTGCATGAATCTCATGCACCAGGCCTCTAGTTCCATTATAATTAAGGATTCATTTGTTGTAGGTGAGGAGTCAATAAGATCACGTATGCACCATGCTGAGTGCACAAGGTCCCTACAGAGACCAGGAAATGCCCAAGTAGTTCTGAGCTCCTCTTGGGCGAGGACCGGGTCTCATTTACCTTTGTAGATGTGGCACCTAGCACAGTGCCTGGCACAGGACTGGTACTAGAGCAGTGAATAAAATAAATGAATGGAAAAACCTGAACCTCCAACCACATTTTCTGTTTATTTGTTTTTCTGATTTCCAGAGCCATTTCCTTTACATCACAACCTTAAGGATCTGAAGTTGCTGGAACCTTGAGTGGTCAAGGGCACAACCCAGCAGAGGTGGGAAGTGCCAAGGGGTGGACTGTGGATAGCAGTTTGGCTAAACATGGAGGCTCTGGACCCAACTTCCCTGGATTCAAATTCTGACTCTACCACATATTAGTTATGGGACCTCAGGCAAGTTATTCTCCCATCAGTAGGAGGGGCTGCCACAGGCAAGACTTTGGTGAAGGAATCTCAAGGTCCACCAGTGGGTGAGGCAGGCGGGGGTTTGCAGTTTTGCCTTCATGGGTCTCCTCTGTCAGACTCCCCTTGCGGCCAGCGTTGTACTCCTGCCTGGCCGAACGCATAAAGCCTTGTTAATAATGAATAGGCCCCTGTCTGCCTTACTTAACACTGAGCTCCAAGCAGATGCACAGCCCTTTATAAATGATCCAGTCCAGCTGATTAGGCCTCCCGGGGCGCGTTCCTGCAGCCAGCCTCTTGTTCCCCGTAATGGAATCATAATGTTAATGTGATTTCAATTAGGACTACGTTACAGAACACAGGTGCTGGAGTGAGCCTGGGGCCGGAAGCCTCCCCGGGGACTCATTTTCCTGGGAAAGGTACGTGTGTTTCCAAAGGCTCTGCCAACCTTGGGAAAAAGCAAGTCACCCCGGCCGAAGGGAAGCCATAAAAGCAGACAAGGGGTATCCAGAGCCCACATTTCCTGCTCTTCAGGGGCCCCAAACCCACGTTTCTTATTCAAACTTGATTTGTATGTAACCCCCTTTTACGAGAGAAAGTGTGTCATGGGGAACTCTGAGGTCCGCACGCAGGCCCTGATTGGAGAAACACTGGCCCAAGAACCACAGTGTTGGTCTAGGAAAATGTCTTTTCATTATAAATGATCACAGCGAGAGAGGCATTGTCTTAAAAAATGGCAACAGCATTTTTTTCTTAATAAAAATAGCTCACCTAGGAGGGGTTCACCATGTACCAGACGTAATTCTTAGTGTTTTATGTGTATAAGCTCACTTCGGAGAGCTTATCATCAAAACAAAAGCATGCAGCTATTTTTTGAAAATTTTCATAGGATGCAAAGAGCCCCAAGAACACACTTCTAGTCCCCAGTCTGCGAGCAGCCAGTCCAGATGGGATCCTGGAGTGCACTGGGCCGATTCTCATTCTACGTATGAGAAACAGAGAGCCACAGGCGGGAGGGACTGGCCCAAGGTCTCCTAGGAGGTGAGGGGCCAAAAGGAGACCAGAACCCAGGTGTGCTGACTCCCAGCCCAGGTTCCTCCACCAGGCTCATTATAAAGAAAGTACAGAGAGGAAAATAAAAACCACCCCAAATTCCACACCCAGAAATCTCCATGGCTAAGAGTCTAGAATCATCTCCAGTATTTTTTCTATAAACATATTGTATATGCACTCAATAGCATAAAATAGGATAATAATGAATAAACCTTCACGACCTGGTATTTCCCCACCTAAATATAGCATGCCAGCCAGGCAGTGCTGGGGCATTTGTTTCTGACACCATGTCATTCTAATGACCCTACAGGCTTAGGGGTCCTTCAGGCTGCCCACCCCCCCCCCCCCTGGACAAATGCAGGCAGAGAGGTGAGAAAGGGCAGTGGTTCCCAAGGTGCCCCAAGGGCCATCACTGGCAGAGTCGGGCTTAATACCCGAGGCTCTGGGGTTTGTCCCCACCCTCCACGACGCAGGCCCGTTTTCTATTCCTTGGCTGCGTACTGGCACCAGGTAGGAAGGTCAGGACCCCCTAATGCCCCTACGTGGGGCCCTGGCTGGGACAGTGTGCCAAGGGCTTATTTACATTGGGAAACAGTATATCTTCCATAGCAACTCCTGTAATACTCCAGGTGAGTCAATATCCAGGATCCTGGGAGCTGACGGACCCCTCCTCCCCCAGGCCTGGAAGCTGATGGAAGGAAGTGAGACAAGCCCCTCTCCACACACAGCCCTTGGCGATTATTCCTGGGACTCTGACCTGAGAAGTGAGCAAGGATGGCCTAGTGCCGTGGTCGGCAAACTGCGGTTCTCGAGCCACATGCGGCTCTTTGGTCCCTTGAGTGTGGCTCTTCCTAAGCCTTAGGAGTACCCTAATTAAGTTAATAACAACGTACCTACCTATATAGTTTAAGTTTAAAAAATTTGACTCTCAAAAGAAATTTCAATCGTTGTACTGTTGATATTTGGCTCTGTTGACTAATGAGTTTGCCGACCACTGGCCTAGTGGTTCCTTGGGAGCTGTAGGGGAGGCAGTGCCCAGTGGAAATTAACTTGCCCCCCCCCCCCCCCACAAGCTCCCATTCTTAGGGGTGGAGCCACAGTGCCTGGGGCTGGAATCCTCGCTCCTCTCCTTACCGTCTGTGTGGCCTTCGGCAGTCCCCTCCATTCTGTCTGCACTGTATGGCCCGATAGAGAAAGATGGAGCAAGGGATGCCACAGGGTCACCTGTAAAAAAAGAGGAAAACAAGGCATTACTTCAGGTTTTCCAAGAAAGCAAGAATTTATTTATTTTTTGTTTATTATTTTTTATTGTTGTTAATCCTCACCCAAGGGTATTTTTCCACTGATTTTTAGGGAGAGTGGGAGAGAGGGAAGGACAGAGAGAAACAGATGTGAGAGAACCACTTTGATTGGTTGCCTCCTGCATGAGCCCTGACTAGGGCCCGGGCTGGGGAGAAGCCTGCAACCAATGTATGTGCCTGTGACCTGAATCAAACCCGGGACCCTTTGGTCCGCAGGCTGACACTATCCACTGAGCCAAACCGGCTGGGGCCAAGAAAGTTTAAAATGGCAGGTTAAAGTCCTATTTACCCAAAGCCCACCAAAAAGAACAATGAATTTGGAAGAGAGAGGGGAAAAAAAAGAGCAAGACCTCCATCTTTTATTAAACTAGAAAGTATACCTGCTAAATGCTCTAAAATATGATCTCAAATAAGACACAATACCTGAGGAGGAAGAGGGTATCCCTGCAGAAGGCACAGTTGAGAGGCCTGCCTGGTGGATGACGGAGTCTGGGCTGAGTTTAGGCCACGGAGGGATCGGGCGCTTACCCATCCAGACCCAGTTCAATGTCACAGGGCAGTGTGGGGGAGGGAGGGAGCTTGCTGACTTGCTGTGTCTCCCTGCCCAGCACCCAACACCTCCAAACGCGGGCAGACTGCTAGATGAAGAAGTTGCAAAATGCAACTCTGGAGACTGGCAGCCTAGAGGTCTTTGCTGAGAGTTTCAAAAGCCTTAGGGCTGAAACTGTGAGGGTTGGGAGGTGGGGGTGGGGTGGGGGGGGTGGAGTCAGAGGCAATGAGCTCCAGGGAAAGAAAATGAAGGATTTAGTAAGATTGTTTTAGTGAGCACAAACCTAATCACACACACACACCCTCGCCCCCCCATTACCTGCTCCTTTCAACATCAGCTTTCAAGAAATGGCTGGCCTTTTCCAAGATGAATGAATCACAAAGGAACATCATGGAACTGCGGGGGGGGGGGGGGGGGGGGGACAACAGGAAAAAAAAGGAAATGAAGCTAAGAAACATAAGCAAAAGCCAAAAGAGCTTACATCACAAGAGGAATTACTAAAAAACAAAAACAGAGGGAGAGTTCAAACACATAGCTCTCCATGGACTCAGAGACTGCAGGGCTCTGACCTCTCTGAATGAGCTAAGAGATGTCAAGGGGCCGAAACCGGTTTGGCTCAGTGGATAGAGCCTCCGCCTGCGGACTGAAAGGTCCCAGGTTCGATTCCGGTCGGGGGCATGTGCCTTGGTTGCGGCCGCATCCCCAGTGAGGGGGAGTGTGCAGAAGGCAGCTGATCGATGTTTCTGGCTCTTTATCTCTCTCCTTTCCTCTCTGTAAAAAAAAAAGACTCAGTGAAATATATTTAAAAAAAAAAAAAAAAAGAGATGTCAAGGGTTCCTTAAAGAGACTGTGAAGTGACAGACAGAAGGAGAATTGGCGGCACTCAGGAAAGAAGTGAAAGCAACAAATACATTTAGAAATTAGAAAGACACACGGAAAAGAAGAAAAACTCAGGATAAACGCGGCACAAAACAGAGAAAGGTACATAGCAAACACCGGAGAAAAGCACACAAAAATAAATGGAAAGAAACTTAATAAAATTTATCTGAGTGAATTTGAAGATCTGATTGGCTTTGTTAGACCACTCACAGATTGGGCAGCACCCCATCTAGCAAGCAGAGAGCCAGCCACTCAGGAGTTACACAAGATGCAAAGCTGTTATAGAAAGAAACGTGGGACGAGGAAGTAATCGGCAAGAGAAAAATGCGTTCATTGGAGGAAAGTAAGTGTTCAGATGATCATGGCTTCTCATTGGCTGAGCTGCGGCCGTTTCCATTGGCTGGGCTTGTTGCTGGGCAAGAGAAAAATCTTTCTTCGCTTGGCTAGACTAGTAAATAGCTACACTTCCCGTTTGGGAGTACAAGGCATGTACATCTCTTCCTTTGGCGATCTTTTATTGAGCCTCTTCTTTTTGGGGTCAGTATTAATGTCTTTCTGTGTGTGTCATTGACATGCAGTGGTAGAGCATGAGAGCGCCTTCTACAGGCCTTACCAACTCCAATTTTAGTTGAAATTTCCCTTCTTTTCATAAAACACACATATAAACAATGGTGTATTTGTTACTGCTGTAACGAGTACCATGAACGGGTGGTTTAACACAACAGAATTTTATTCTCTTTCAGTTCTAGAGACTAGAAGTCTGAAATCCAGGTGTTAGCAGTACAGGCTCCTTCTGAGGGCTCGGGGAGAATCTGCCCCAGGCTCACTCCTGGCTTCTGATGATGACGGGCTGCCCTTGCCTGCAGCTGTGACTCTCCAATCTCTGTCTTCAGCCTCACATGCCGTTCTTCTCTCTGTGGTTCGTGTCTCTCTTCTTCTTATGAGGATAAAGGGCCCATTCTAACCCGTATGACCTCATCTTAACTGACTACATCTGCAACAACTCTATTTCCCAATAAGGCCACATTCTCAGGTATCTTTCTATATCTTTCTGGGCCCATCACAAATAGTTATAGGGAAGACTAAATGACACGGCGGACATACAACAGCTTCACATTTAGTGTTCCTGAAAAGACAAGTAAAACAAATGGAACAATGACGAAAAGCATTTAGACATAATGGGAAAAGGCCTTCCCAAAATGAAAACTTGAATGTGGAGATACAAAATAGATTCAGGACCATCAGCATCAAGTGTGGCCTTCTAATACAGTGGCAAAACTTTAAGGATAAAGACAGAATCACAGACAGTAGGGGGCTGAGGGCATGCACTGGAGCAGCCTGGGAGAGCTCAATGGGGGAAAAAGGAAACATATGTAATACTTTGAACAGTAAAGACTTTAAGTTTTAAAAAAAGAAAAAGACAGAATCACATGTGCATCCAGACAAAAGTCTCCAGTCACATGAATGGGGAAACCAGGCTGGCGGCAGACACCTCTCTAGACATCTCTGCAAATTGGAAGCATAGACCACAGTGTAAATGTTGTAAACACCAACAATAAGGTAATGATATGAATAAGACTAATAAGAATTGGGAGATGGAGTCAAGAAGGTGGCAAGAAGTGTAAATGTATTAATTTTCTCATTTTTTCACAGAAAATATTAATAAATATTTGGGTACATTTGAAAAAGTGTCACTTTAAAAATAATTATTCCAATCTTATAGTTAATATTTTACAAAATTATGTTTCTTAACTTTAAGGAACAAGTATGTGGTAAAAATAAAACGTTTCATCTAAAATTTAGTGATTTCTTCTGTTTCAAGTTACCAGTTTATTTTTTTAAGCTCTTTATGTTGAAATAATTTTAGATTTACAAAAAAGTTGCAGAATGTTCCCCATAAACCCTTTCCCTCATGTCTTTTAAGGTTAACGTCTTACATAACCACGCCACATTGATCTAAACTAGGACACTGACATTGGCACAATACTGTTAACTTGATTAGGATTTCACATTTCCTCACGAATCTCCGTTTTCTGTTCCAGGAACGATCCTGGACAGCACATGGCATGTAATTGTCGTGTGTCCTCAGTCCACTCCGATGGGTGACAGTTTCTCAGTCTTTCCTCATCTTTTGTGACCTTGACACTTTCAAAGAGTCTTGGTCAGGTATTTTGTAAAATGCCCCTCAATCTGGGTTTGTCTGATGTATTCTTGTGACTAGACTGAGACTACGTATAGATTTGGGAGAAAAATATCAAAAGAGTAAAAACGCCATTCTCATATATCAGGACGTATATGATAGCAACATGACTTATTACTGGAGATATTAACTTTGATCACTTGGTGGAGGTGAGGTCAGCCAGGTTTCTTTGTGAAAAGAAACCATTTCCCCTTTCCATCCTCTATTTCAGCGGTTCTCAACCTGTGGGTCAAGACCCCTATGGCGGTCGAGCGACCCTTTCACAGGGGTTGCCTAAGACCATCCTGCATATCAGATATTTACATTATGATTCATAACAGTTGCAACATTACAGTTATGAAGTAGCAACGAATATAATTTTATGGTTGAGCCACAACATGAAGAACTGTATTTAAAGGGCCAGAAGGTTGAGAACCACTGCTCTATTTGAAAGAACCAAGTCCCTAAGTCCAGCCCCTACTCAAGGGGAGAGGAACGCATCCCCTCTCCTAGAAGGAGTATGAAAGAATTTGTGCACATATATTAAACCTACCACAGTAATTAATTAATAAATATTTTAGGAGAGATACTCTGGGGACATTCATCAGTGGATCTTGCCGCAGCAATTATCACTCTTGTGTTCTCGTGGTGATTTTGTATTGGCCTCATTCCTTCTACATCTCTTATTTGGAATTCTCTAGAAGGAAGATCTGTCCCTCCTCCTCCGTTTATTTGTTTAGTCAATTATTTGTTTATTTCAGTATGGACTCATGAATATTTATTTTATTTTTGGGGTTACAATCAACACTGTCATTATCTACTTTATTGCTCAAATTATTCTAGCCTTGGCCATTGGGAGCAGCTTTATCATCTCTCTCTCTCTCTCTCTCTCTCTCTCTCTCTCTCTCTCTCTCTCTCTTTTTAACTTAATAAACTTCACGTTTTAAAGCAGTTTCAGGTTTACAGAAAAATTGAGTACAGAGGGTTCCCATATACTCTGTCCCCCCTCCCGCGCCCTCGCACAGCTTCTTCTATTATTAATATCTTGCATTAGTGTGGTACATTTGTCTCAACTGATGAGTCAATATTGACGCAGCATTATGAACTACAGGCAATGGTTTACATTAGGGTTCACTCTTTGTGTTGTATATTTCATGGGCTTTGACAAATGTATAACGACATGTGTCCATATACGCTTCATACAGAATAGTTTCACTGCCCTAAAAGTCCCCTTTGTTCCACCTATTCATCCCTTTCTCCCCCTAAGCCTGGCAACCACGGGAGCTTTTCCTGTCCACATTGCTTCCCTTTCCCAGGAGCTCATATCACTGGAATCATATCGCATGTAGCCTTTTCAGATCGGCTTCTTTGACCAAGCAATATGCATGTAAAGCTTCTGAATGTCCCCTTCAGGCTTGATAGTTCGTTTCTCCTTACTGCTGAGTAATATTCCTTTGCAAGGATGTGCCACGGTTGGTTTATCCACTCACTGATCTCTTCCCCTATTGGAACGCCTCGGTTGTTTCCACATTTTGGCAATTACAAATAAAGCTGCTCTAAACACTTGTGTGCAGTTTTCTGTGTGGACGTAGTTTTCAAATAAATTGGGGAAATGCCTAAGAGCATAACTGCTGGATCGTTTTGTAGAACTGTTTAACTTGGTAAGAAACTGCCAAATTGTCTGCCAAAGTGGTTATGATGCTTCACATTCCCACCAGCAATGAATGGGAGTCCCCGTGGCTCCACATCCTCCCCGTTTGGTGTTGTAAGTGCTTTAGCTTTTAGCCATTTTAATAGGTGTGTAGTGATATCTCTTTTAATTTCAGTTCCCTAATGGCTTATGCTGTTGTATATCCTGTTTCCTTCCACATCCTTTTTTTTTTGTCAGCACTTTCTTACTTTCTGGGACAAGATGCTCCAGACTCACATTTTCTCTGTTTCAGCCCTTGAGTCAGCCATTTCTCCAGGAGTCCTGTTTCTTTTTTTATTGGAGAATGGTATTTAGAGACCAAAATCTGGGTGCTGGGTGTGCTTGTTATTACTGGGGTGTCACTGTTTCCAGGTCTTCTCAGCGGACAGAACTAAGAAATACATGCATACACACAGAACTCTATATATCTCTGCATCTGCCTGTGTACATCTATAATAATAAAAGCGTAATATGCTAATAAGACTGGACAGCTGAATGACCTTCCAGATGTCTTTCCGGACGAAGCCACAGTGGCAGGGGCCAAGGCAGAGGCAGTTAGGGGCAATCAGGCAGGCAGGCGAGCAGTTAGGGGCGATCAGGCAGGCAGGTGAGTGGTTAGGGGCGATTAGGCAGGCAAGTCGTTAGGAGCCAGC